GGTGTGGCAACAGGCGTCTTTCCCCATTTTCAGCATGTTGACCACTTTCAGAAGGCAACAAAATTTCTTCTGTTTTTTTTTTTCAAAATCAGGCGAATGTTAATGCGCGCGCTGATGTTATCCATAAAAATTACTTGCTATGGCCTTATTAAGAAAAACCTTTCTAGTACACGTTGTTGTTTTAACATGTTACAGATATTAATAAGTTATCAATACATGCAAGCTTCAGATGTACTAAAGCTTGTATGCAGTACCGTACTTACCATTATGAACAGTAAAGGCATTAGATTACTCATTTCCTACCATTGAACCCTGTTCAAACCATGTCTGCTGTTATCCATGTTAATCACAATCAGTGTTTTTTTCTTCGACTAGAACCAAGCTTCACAATTGGCAGAAAATACAATCATTTAAAATATGTGTACATGCTGTCTCAAAATGTGTAAAAAGAACTGTTACAAATTCTTCTAATGAAAAAGATCTGTCTAAACCATGACTTCTGAAAATTATACACATAAACATATAACGTTATATGTTTAACATGTATAACTTGTATATCGCTTCTTCAGTTGGAACCATGCATACATACAAAATGTTCATTCAATTCATTTGACTCCTGGACCAGCAAATGTGTTGCACAATATGCCACCATACAAAAATTGTTGGACCAATATGTGATACAGTTATGTTGAGTTATTTAAAAGAACCTGTCTTCTAAACACTTCTTTAATTAAACATTTTGAATTTAAGTTACTTATTAAGCTTCAGTACTCAGTACTTACCGACAATAAATGCATATTACAATAAAATTGTAGGAGCAATAAATGGTACGATCATGTTACTTAGGCCACATCATTTTAATTTCTTGGTTAACGTATTCGCCCGCTTCATTTTTTTCTGATTTGCAAATAAAAAAAAAATCAGAATCAACTGCAAAATGCTCATATGGTGCCCTTCACAGTTGAAAACAGTCCTTTTCTTCCTAGTTGTTACAGTTATTCCATCTTCTAATGCAATGGTATCATTACAAGTTCAAAAATTCATTGTTTAAATTTTGAACCAGCCTGGTGTGTTGACTTCATGGGTCATTTCGTACCATTTTGGGCCATAATAGGATACCTAGGCCTGCTTTTTTCGCCGACCCGCTCCATTATTTTTCTAGAAAAATCCGTTAACCAAGAAATTAAATTGGTGTGGACTTATTAAGAAAAACCTTTCTACTACACGTTGTTTTAACATGTTACTTACTACATATATAAGCTTCAGCTGTAATACTTACCATTGAACAGTAAAGGCATTAGATTCAGTTCCTACAATTATCCACTTAGCGCTCTCCCTGCTGCCTAACCCCCATAAACAACAAAGTTGGTGCTAAAAGGCTACCATATTAGGCTGAAGGACGGGGTGAAACTCACCTTTACTGGCTTAACCACTAGCATTGCAATTCTGAATAAATAAAAAAATAAATAAATGTAAATTGAAAAGACTTAGTGCTCATCTAACATAAAAAGTAAAGTTTACATGTATCAACTTGTGGCAGCATGGCAGCTGGCCCTGTGGTATTTAAGTGATTTCTGACATTCAAGGATTTTGTGATGGCTTGAGACCGGCCCTGCAGTCTGATCATGACCACTGGCTATTTCTGTAGTGTTTCCGATGGTGTTTCCACACCTTCATACATAAGATTTGTCTGTAGGGCAGCTAGCAATGGTTCACGCGTTTTTAATATCCAAGGATTGAGTTGTGGCCTGAGACTGGCCCTGCTCTGTCTGATCGTGAACACTGGCTATTTCTGTATGTTTTGGCTCCTTTTCTGTTGTTTTCACACCTACATAGGATTTGTCTGTAAGGCAGCTAGTAGTGCATCATGTGATAAATTTTCAATATCCAAAGATTGAGTTATGGCCTGATACTGACCTAGTCGTGTCTGATAATGACCACTGGCTATTTCTGTTGTGGCTGGGTCCTTTGCTGGTGTTTTCATGTTTTCACACCTGAATACATAGAATTTGGCTGTCGCCATCTGTTATATAGTGGACTTCTAGTGTGCAAAGACCCAGTGGTTGTGTATACTGGACCAGTAGCAGTAGTCTCTGGAGTGGCTGTCAACTTTTAATGGACTTTTATTATTGGCGACCTACTTCAGGTTGGTGTCTCGTGAGGTCAGAGATGAAGGCAAACAGGTCAAAGGTGAAATTGTCGACCTAATTACCCATGTTCAAACCGACCATCTTACAATGTAACACGCGTCTAACTTTTGTTTCTGATCTAGTATGTAAGAGAGATTTTAGGCATAGGGAACAAATGTCAAGCCAAACTGTTTGGTCTGAATCTTGATTTCTGTGTTTTATGATCAACTCACCACCTCTGACGATATTCCATCCAAGGCAAAAAAAGGCAACACAGAAGGAAACATCATATTCAAGGTACATAACGATTTAATTGTGTTAGTGGAAAATTTCTATAGATACATCTTCAAAAAAGAATTCAAAACAAACTTTTACTCGTATACAACATAACGCCTACGTTTTTACAATTATAAAATACTTCCTACTGTTGGAAACTAAAGCAGTTAAAAACACGTTAGTCATTTACCTGATGCAAATTTCTTGGCTTTTTGGTATTTCTAATCCAAATTATAGTGTAGACCGTTGATATTAGTCAAAAGATATTTGCTTGCATAACATATAGGTACACACTACGTCAAAGTAAACTACAGGAAATCAAATATAGTACTTTTGTTAAAAACGCAAACGCTAACAGTACCACCTACCTTTTAACTAATGTGTACAATTACTTACATTTAGACATTACTGCTCTATGTACATCTGCATTGTACAATCAATACCATCAAGTAAACTGTTGTTCCA